CATGCATCTATGCATGGGTGTCCGATCTTGACCGTAGATCACGGTCAGGATTACTTTGGTTTTTTTTTTAAAAAAAAAATTTAAGGTGAGGCCCACCGAAATACATCGGGACCGTATATCAGGTGATTTACGGTCCGGATCGGATCCGTATGGAATAATTTTTCAGAATCTAAATGGTTGGATTGGTAAATCTGTGAAATAATTAAGTGGTAAATATGTAAAAACTATATTAGGAAATTTTTCTTTTTTTAGTATATTAGGAAATTGTAATCGATTATAAACACCGAAAATTTTCTTTATTTTTTATTTATATCATCCATTTTCATCTATAATTGGTAAATATGTAAAAACTGAAATATAGGAGCTAGTTATGTAAATACGTGCTAATTGAGGTGTCTGTTTTTAACCTTGTTTGGGCCTTCAAAACGTGAAGGTAGGTACGGGAGAAGGTCCCGTCCTTAGACTCACCCGCAAATTATAAATTTCAAAGCCATCCATCTTTCATGACAGTTGATTATATATAGGAGCTTCTGAGAGGTAGAAAACATTACACCTCTGTTTTATTCCGTTCGCTCGCCGTCCCATGGCTTGGTCCGATCTCCCTGTAGATCTCCTCGGTTCCATCTCCTCCCACTTACCCATTGTCGATTTCCTCCGCTTCTCCGCTGTCTGCACCTCGTGGAATTCGGCTCTTGCCATCAACTCCCTTATTCGAATCCAGTGTCGTCCCTCCCCATGGCTCCTTCTTCCCAACAATGCCGGAGAGCCCTCCGACACACTCACATTTCGTGATCTTACCATCAAAGATAGCCGCAGCAGCCATCACCGCTTCTCCTCCCTCAGTGAAAACATCTCCGGCCGTTGCTGCATTGGGTCCAAGGATGGATGGCTCGTGACAGTTGATATAAAGGACTTGCAACCTCGCCTCTTTAACCCCATCACAAGGGCTGAAATATCCCTCCCATCCCTCTTGACCATCCCCGGAACTAATGAGCATCTTATAAAGCCTGAATACGCACCCGACGACTCTATCGATTCTTGTATTAATGGAAGTAATTCATACGTCACGGCCTACCAAAAACTTCTCGATGTTTATTTTCGAAAGATAGTTCTCTCCTCTAATAACTCGTCTGGAACTGCTGTTGTCATCTACCGCCATAAGAAATCATTAGCTTTGGCAAGGCCAGGTGATCGGGCATGGGTTTTGGGCCCTCTGCTACCTACTTACCGCGGGGAATATTATAATGACGAGTTTGATGATATTTATTATAATGAAGAAGAACAAATGTTTTATGTAATCACACATTTTTCAGCGATGCTAGCCTTTGATCATAATGGACAAAATGCTAAATTGATATGTCCATTAATGCAGGAACCGTATTTCGATGACTCTTATCACAGAAACTATATTGTTTGTTTGTTTGGAACTCTTATAAAAATCGAGATGAGCTATTTTTATTTCCGGGATGTGAATAACAATATTTGCCCACCGAAGTCAATTAATATCAATGTTTTTAAGTTTGAATCAACCGGTGTTGCTTCATCTTGCTCCAACTTTCAATGGATCCCCATCAAGGATTTGAAGGATTGTTCCTTATTTGTGGGAGGTAACCAGACATTTTCAATACATCACACCATTGCTCCCGAAATTAGGCCAAATTGTATATACTTCTCTGATCATTGGGAAGACTTCGATCATGATGCTGGAGTCTTTGATTTACCTAATGACTGCTTTGAGTATTTGCTGAACTCTTATTCGACGACTAATTTGCCCTCTTCAACATGGTTTACACCATCATTTTCATAAATTGATTATCTTAATCTTTCAAAGGAAACATTAGCATTAATATTCTTTAGTTGTAAGTTTGTTTTTATGTATTTGTTAGATAATTTATTAAGGTGTTATGTTGTAGCATTTTTTTTAATTAAAAATGTTCTTCTCTTTTGTCTTTTTAATTGAATAAAATATATTAACAATGTTGTATTATTGTTACGAAATCTAATTCGCAAGTCAAACTAGCTTCATTTCTGTCATCAAGAAAAATTTAGAGCAAATAATTTAAAGCAACCATCTCTCAACAAAAGATTTACCAAGATAAAATATGCTTATATTAGTTATAGTGTTAAAAACAATTAGATGATGAAATTATTATTATTATTAATTTTTTTTTTTTGGAATGACCCCGATTATAATAATTTTTGTTAATACGAGAACCGTATTTAAATTATTGTTATTACAGAAACTATATTACTTTTTTGTCCGGAACACTTATAAAAATCGAGATAAGCTTTTTTTCATTTTTGGGGTGTGAATAATAATATTTACATGATAAAGACAACCAACATCAATGTTTTTAAGTTTGTGTCAGCTCATGTTGCTTCATCTTGCTCCTACTCTCAATGGATCCCCATTAAAGATTTGGAGGGTTGTTCTTTATTTATAGGTTGTAACTAAACATTTTTCAGTACATCACACCATTGCTCCCGAAATTAAGCCAAATTGCATATACATCTTGGATCATTGGCAAAACTTTCATCATGATACTGGACTCTTTGATTTACATAATGTCTACTTTGAGTATTTCTTGGACTCGTCATATTCGATGACTAATTGGTTCCCTTCAACAAGATGGTTTACACCATCATTTCCACAAATTGATTATCTTAATCTTTCAAATGGAGCATGTAACATTAATATTCTTTAATTGTAAGTTTGTTTTTTTATATTTGTTAGATAATTATTATGGGTGTTATGTTGAATCATTTTTTTATAAAATATGTAGTTTTCTCTTTTGTCTATATAATTTTAATAAAATATATTAACATTGTTGTATTATTGTTACGAAATCTAATTAGCAAGTCAATCAACTTCATTTATGTTATCAAGAATAATTTAGAGCAAGTAATTTACAATATCTTTCTCTTAATAAATGTTTTACCAAGATAAAGATATGTGGGCGGAACCCATAGGGAGGAAGAAGCGAGATCACGTAGATGAAGAGATGCCCTTAGCCAAAGCGTTGATCCTCCCTAATAGGAAAAATATTTACGTAGATCATATGCACGCAGAATTGCGTGCGTATGAATGTTATTTGGAGGGTATTGGAGGGTAATGTTACTGTTTTTGGGGTTAATACCCTTAGTATCCTCACAAAACCCTCGAATGACATAAAAAAAGATGAGCTTCGAACCACGAAATATATTGGTAGGTTATTGAGAGGTTTTTAAGATGTTATTAGGGTTAATACCCCTTAATAACCTCCAACAACTGAGTTATTGGAATGTTATTCGGGGGTAACATACGCAGAACTGTGTGTGTTTGACGTACGTAAATATTGCTCTCCTAATTGCCTGACGAGACAGTAAACATTCTAAGCAAAGAAAGTCGGCACAACAAATCTAGAAAAAAATGAAACATATCATGACTCAGAATTTGGAAGGCAGCCAAAAAAGAAAAGAGGAGAATCATGTGATAGCGAGAGTAAAAGGAAAAAAAATTGGTTCTTTACAAAAAAGAAAAGAAAAGTTTAGGTTGTCAAATCCAACAAGTAAAAGAGGATGTAAAAATAAAAATAATAACAATAATAATAATTGCAAAATCTGTAAATTATAGAAGTAAAGGTCTAAAATGTAATTGTCTCCTAAGCTTTTTATCAAATAGTTTGGGCATGAAAATCAAAAAGATTGTATTACACAGAACTCCACAATGACAAAAAAATAACCATAGAAATCTCCTAAACCACTTTGATCTCTCAATTAGACTTATTTGCAATAAAATTGGCTTTGTTTTGTTTAGCTATCAGGCATAATTTAGTTTAGATGTATGTTATTTATTTGATTTGTAACTCACAAATTTCTAAAAATTGTATGGAGTGTGATGTGTGCCATTAAATGACAAGTATTTCTATGGCATAAATAAGATATACTAAGCATTAATAGATCTTTGTTCCAAGCCAATAAAATGGAGTTCCATCTCAATCTAGCAGCAGTGATGATAACCTATCTTGGCAATGTATCTCTTTAAGAGCCTTCAGATCAAGATGGGCTACATAAGAATAATTAGATGTTGTTAATTCATTGCTTATAAGAAAATACCTCTCCCATCGATTCCTACATACAAGAAGGGATGGCGATGCCCATCGGTCTACTTCTCTAACATCAATCAATGCTAAATAATGAAATGACAAATTTATTTTTTTTTATTATAATTAATTATTTTCCTTTTTTTTTGTATAGTTTTTTTTTTTTATGTAAATACTAATTAAAAGAATGAACATGCCAAGTAGGGCTTTAAACAAGCCAAGGTTGAGCGAGCACAGGCATGGCTCATGTTCGACTAGTTCGAAATTGGTCTTGAACAGTGTGTTCTTGTTCGGCTCGATTTACACATAATTATTCGTGTTCAGCTCAAAATTGACTCATTTAAATTAATTAGAAAAAATAGATGTAGAGTACTGAATCGAACTTACATATTTAGAATTTAGATAAAATTCATGATGTCCTAACCAATTATAACCCTTGGATTTACTTGTGATGAGTCTAATATATCTAATATTTATTTAAAGTAAATTTAAGCATTTTAAAACCTACCCTAACTAAAACTTGGTCAGAGATCCTCACCAAATTCTTTTCATTATGAATTTCGTATTCATATATCTTTTCTTCTAGTATGTGAATTATGCAAATGAGATTTTTTTAGTGTTCATAGAAAATAATACTTATACTAGAATGCTCTTAAGCTTATTGGCATTGCTTTCCTTATGTGTCGGCTTAGTTCGCACTTATCATTTGATTTACATGGAGAAGTGCCAACATAACATCATTCCTCAAAGTGTCACAACACAAGCACATAACATTATATGCTCTCTGCAACACACGACATGATGAATAAACATAAAACTCTATTTTGCACTCACAAAGAAAAATTTCATATAAAAATAATATAAATAATCATTATTAGCATAAGAAAATAGGGATTAGCATTTTGTGCATCGATAAAGTTTATAACTTCGGTCTAATAAAGAAAGTAAAATAATATCTAATGAGAAAGAAGTTAAAAGGAAAAGATTACCATAACAGAATTATCCAATACCCCCTTCTCCCCTCTCCACAAAAAAAAGGGTGAGACAAACTAAAAGCCAAAGTGAGCCTAATGCTGGAAAAAGTGCTCCTAGAGAGATGACCCACCAAATACATTGGTCGAACCTATCATTAGAAATGTCACTACAAATAAGTTTTATGAATCAAATCTGATAACTAATTATTATATATTAAAGCATAAATGGCGAGTGTAGTATAGACAATAAAAGAGATAATTTATTATGTATATATTGTATAGATGATCTATTTCGTCAAAGATCAAAATTATTCGTTTACCGCTTTTCATACATACCAGATAGAGCTGTCATGAGAGCAGTAGTCGTCTTTTTCTTGATGACATTGTGGGCAACAGATATCAATAAAGTTAATCGAATATCCATCAGAACTTGTCGATCTAACAGATTCCATTTAGCTTTATTCATCTTTTCCGGTTTTTTTTCCCAATAACGGAAGATGAAGTTTCTTCTCATAGAAATATCTCTATCTGATGCTCCAGTAACTAAAATTTATGTCATCAAACTTCTCGATACACGATACATTCACTTCTTCTCTGGTCATCGCTTTCCTCATATCCGAACCACGGCTCTAATTCCAATTTTTGTGAAAAATGATTGCGAGAAAGCAAAAAATTAAATGAGAAAAAAAATATAGACATATAAATTTACGTAGTTCGACAAATTACCTATGCCTACGGAGTTATAGAGAATTTTAATAATTGTGGAATCATACACTAAATCACTCTAGTTACAAGAACTCAATTCCTTTCGCTCTCTCGTTCTTCCCTTTTCTCGTCGCCCGCAATGCCTTCAGCCTCATGCGACTCCTTCGCTGTTCTGCTACTCGTGAACCTTTGCGCCACCCGCAACACCTCGTCACCCGCGAGCCTTCTGCCGGAACTCCTTCACGTGAATGCTTCGCGACCTAGTATTGCTTCAGCCGCCTGTGTCTCCTTCTTCTTCCTTCGAACTAGAGAGATCGCGCCTTCTTGTTGCTGTCTCTCAGTTCCTTTTGTAGCCGCGAAGGAAGACGATATCGGACGGGCTCTTTTATTCGCAAAACAAGTGGCGGGATCCCGAAATGGAAAGAACAAGGGAGTGGGATCCATGAGGAGGGAGCTTTGCAAAGGAAAGAAATCAACCATTAATTAAATGCCATACGAAGAAACTAACAAATAGAAGTGAAAAGGACAGGGCTCCACAATACTCAAGGGAATTCTCTGTTTTTCTATGAGTCCCGGTCATCGGTGGAACGTCCCGTGGCTGCACGAGCATCATCCATTCTTCAGCAGTGGAGGGAATTGAAGGTCCAAGCTGCGGCAAGGGACAGGAGGATCACGAGGTGGGGTGCGGTCAGTCAGCAAAGATTGGTCGCGCAAAGAGAGATCTGCTTTGCAACAGAAACTCTTGGGGGTCGGCCGGTGGAATTGCTACTGGCCGGCCAGATCGGATTGGGGCAAACTCTTGAGGCGATACTTCCCATTAGCAACAAGAATGAATCACTTATAACAAGCTCGCTGAGAATGAGCTGGAATTTCTCAGTGCCACTTTCCATTTGCTGCAATCTTCCGAGAGAAATCAGATTGGGGCAAACTACAATTCTCAAATTTCTCAGTCTTCAACCTTACATCCGCTTACATCTGACAAAAGAAGAAATGTGAAATTTTGCTTGTAGTTCGAGGTTTCCATCCAATGTCTGAATCTTCATTTT